TTTCAACACTGGCGTGCTACTTACACGTCAGAGCTGCTGCATCCCAGTTGCTCAAACTCCAGAGCCCTGCCAGTTAAATCACAAAGAGATTGCTAGTGAAAGCTGACATTGTAATCAGAGAATCTGATCATGGCAGAGAAAAGTGTCCAAAATAAAGGTCAGAATAAATATCCAAGGAGAAACAGCGCTTGTATTTTATGAACTAACTAAATGCTTTCTGCTTCCATTAGTACTACAGTACCACTGAAGAACAAAAAGCAGATTCAGGGCTTGCTTCAGAGCTCGTAAGAAATGGGCAGTTCAAAATGCAGGAAATGACTATAAGCTACACTTCCTAATTGATAGGACATAGGCTTATCAGAAGAATAAAACTGGCCGTTCACAATGCTCGCTGAAAAACAGCCCACAGTATTGTTTCAGCAGCAGGAGCTGTTTTATTGACCAACTCAGGGGTCAGTGGCGTGTTTTAAGAAAGTGAAAAGAAAACAGGGCTTCTTAAATACAAAGTTAAAAAGCGGGGAGGAAACCAACACAAGCAGGATTCAGCTGGGGGCATTCAGAACCAAACATTAATTAATATATTCTGCATGCCTGGCTTGCAAATTACTTCCTCAGCCCAATATTAATGCCTCATCTACCACCACAGCAGTGAATAGGATTCCTATGAACTTGATCTAGCCTACATAGACCCCTTGCACTTACAGAGAACAAAAGAACGCCCCCTCCACATATGAAGCAGGTAATAAAATCTGTTTTCCTCCAGCTGCACAAGGTTCTTGGGTAGATCTGAAAACACCACTCATCCCATCAGGTAAGCAGGAGCTTGCCAGCTTGCTGCAGACACACACACGAGGCTAGGTCTCTGTCAAGTCACACGCAGAAGACTTTTGGTGCATGTACGTAGGTAAAACCTGACGAAGGGCTATGCTTGCTGGCACGTTTCAGGCACTAAAACCACCGTGAAATGCTGAAGCAAACATTCATGCAGGAACTCTGTAGGAGAAAGAGTTAACTGCCCTTCCCTCCATTCTGGGTGCCTGCGCCGGAAAGATAAAGCAGAATATGCTCGGTCAGAAGCGCTCCCCTCCAGCAGTTCCCAGTTTGAAGAGCAGCCCAACTTCAGACTGGGCATGCAGCTTTGATTAAGAACTGGGAAAGGGAAATCTGCACACAGCCAAGTAGAGTAACCAGCCCTAGAGTACTTGGTTTAATTTGTAAAATTGAAAAAAAAAAGGGCACATCAAAACAGTCATTGTTCAACCTTTTGGTGTCTCGGTTAGCACGGTGCTGAATCACAACTGGAGCAAGGGTGCGTGGGCATCCCTGAGACAGATCTGAAGTCCAACACTGAAAAACTCTTAAAGCAGAAGAAAAGCAACGCAAGAAAAAGGAGCTTTCCGAGAAGATGTATCCCAGCGGTGGTTCTGGTCTGATATTTTCCCCCTTCTTAAAGCAATAAACTTAAGAGAATAAACGAAGATGACAAGTGTCAAACCACAGAAGTCAACGGCACATGGGAAATCCTCCCATCAGCGTTCAAACCATCCCATTGACTCAGGTGTTCTTACGGAGCACATTAGAAGACCAGGCCATAAATCCTGTGTATGGTTAACGCGTTAATATAGCCCAGGTGGAAGCGTGCAATAGGTGGGGAACAGAGGGAGCTGTGTACAACTGGCACTTGCTCACTATCTGACCTTGAGTGAGTCACTTGGCCCTCGTGCCTCAGTTTCTCTATTTTTAAAACCCTGATAGCCCTGTAAAGCACTAAAAGATTTACAAATGAAGGTACAAAGTATTATTTTATCGCCGAGTAGTAAAGGAGAAGGACAGTGGCTCAGCCGTAATGAATCAATCTGAAACATCAGAGCCCGACTCCACCAGCGCACCACACAAGTTGCGGCCATAAATCGATCACTTCTGATTAGGTTAGGCTTTACGATGCAGTAATTGTGATAGCAGCAGTTTCATAACTGTGAAACGAGCACTTTGCTCAGCAGCACATTATGCAGGAAGCCTGCATGAACAACGACCTTTTTGGTCAACCCGAAACGGCACCGAACAGAGGCATCCCAAACACAATACCCATTTTTTTTTTTAATGTTATCTATCAGAGAAGCTTCTCTACCTGCTTTTACGGTCACAGGTGAGCAGGAAGGAAACCAAACAATGCCATTTTTCAAAAAGACCAGATCTCAAGCTCCTAGCTCTCTTTTCAGCAGGGACAACGCAAAAAAAATAGCTGTTTTTCAGAGTTGCAAGATGAAATTTTCAGTTGGGCAGCAACTCTCGGCTCCTTTCGGTGGACCACATGACTGCCTCAATACATAAGAGCATTTTTTGTGCCAGCTCGCAATGAAGACCACATAGCTAATAGTTTGCAACCTCCTTTCCCCCAGAAGATCTTCAGTGTTGAGTAAGAAAATTCCTCACATGATTTCAATGAGAGGGTTCACTTGTCAGAGGCTGCTTCGAGATAGTATCATATGTCAGGGAGGTGCTGCTCAGAGGAAGCTTTCCAACCCTGCACTTTCAAGGCTCAACTGAAAAAGAAAAAAAAAACACTTTGGGCTATAAAGTTGGAAACTGGAAGAAAGAAAAATAATCTCTAGATGTTATTTTTAAAAAGTGGAAGCGAGCCAATTAACGGGGGGAGGAAGAAAAACTCTGATTAGAGCCCTGACAAACTCTGCCGATCACAGAGCGATTCCCAGCTCTGCCGCCGACTCCGTGGAGGAACCTGAGCAAGTTAATCCCTCTGCACCTTAGTTTGCCACCTGCGAAATGAAAAATAACACTTTCTTTTCATATCCTGTTATTCCTGCTCGCTTTGTTTCCCAAATTAAAAGCACTTGTCCAAACACTTACCTTTCGCATTTGTGCTGGAAATTGCATTCATAGCTAACATTCAATCAGTTTGCGTGGCTGAGTGTTCAAACACAAACTCTCAGTATACTTGGCCAGCCAGCTGCCCTCATCTTGGTGCATTTTAGGAGGGAGCTTTATGCAATACAGGAATATCTGAACGCTAAGCTACAGTTTGGTAGTGATCTAATATATAAAGAACGGCTTTAGGGATATGAGTTAACCAAAAATCAAATCTATTTCTCCTCATTATCTCCTAAAAATCCCACTATAATCATGACATTGGTCTCGCTTCGTTGATAATCCACAAGATAATATTATCAGCATAGGTATAATTAAAGGGGCAATCCCACGAGGACCTGCACGCAGATCCAATGCCTGCTCCATTAAAATCAGTGCGAAGGGAAATCGACTTCAGTGACTTTAGAAGTGTCAGAGCTGCATAAAGTCATCAGGAGGAGAAACAAAGGCACGCTCTTTTGCGGTAGGAACCTGAAGTTGACAGCATCCCTTCAAGCGCTTGATTTCTGAACCTAAACTTCGCAGAAGATGAAAAATATTTGCCACAGATCCCAAAGCTGCCATGTGAAATTCCGTCCTGCCCCTGAAAGCTCAGCACAGAAATCGCTGTGAAGCACAAGTTGCTTTCTTCAGAGTCAAACGTGCTGTCAGTTCATGCAGATCTGTTTATCCTCTAACACACGCAACCAAACATCCTCAGAGATGCCTTTTATGAAAGAGACAGTGCAGGATTTTTCACTTCTCAAGTTTTAGTTCCATCAGTTTTTGCCATTCCCTTCCCAAACACCATACCCTGAAGACCCAAACTGCATTGCTGCCTCGCTGACATTCAACAAAGCGCAGTCCCAAAACTTAATGACAGAACAATTCTGGAAATTCAGGCTTATTATAAATAAAATTCAAAACCAAAAAGCAAATGCCACAACCTCATCATCTTCCCAGCTCCGGATACCAAGAAAAAACACATCAGACACTCGCATAAACTTACAGATTTTCACTCTAAAGTAACTGCTTCCTAATAATTTAACTCTCCAAACACTGGGCACCCATAAACTTTTAATATCCCTTTGAAAGAGACCATGAAGACCCACATAGAAACAGCAGCCTCTGAAATAAGCTTTCTGCAGCAAACTCTGGTTCCTAATTCCTTGGAATTACCTGCTCGCACTACTGGAGAGACACACGTTTTCTAGAAAGGTCAACAAAATCGAAAGGAATTGCTCCTGACTGCTCAATAAAGTAGGTGCAGAGATAAGCAGGCCTCATCCACCCAGGATCTGCTTGCAGATTTCCTTACCCCTCTTTGAAAAGCCTGCAGGTTCACCTATGGGAGCATTCCTGCACCACAGCTGGCCGTCTGCATACCACGATGTCGTCTAGACCTGCTCGGAGCCGAGTTGGATGACACAGGAGTAAAAATGCTGATGCCTGTTCGGGTGCTTGCACTGGTGCTAAAGGAACGATAGGAGGAAGAGAGGGAAACACAAGTTCCTTGTTCCCAGCCTCATGCCCAGGCTCGTCAGAGCAATTCTGTCAACCCTACAGAAAAAGTTGTGGCTGTCACGGGGCTACAGGATAATCACGTAAGGGACAAGAGCGTTCCCAAAGCCCAGTTTCCAGATATCAAACCCTGCTCTTTCACTGAGCTCGGCGCTCCTAGAGCACGCAGATAAACGCATCCCTGCCCTATAATATCCTACCCGTTTCCCACTTCTCTCCTGCTTCCCTCCCCCCGTCTGCACGTCAGAAATGTTTTCTTGGCAATTTGGAAGAGAAATGGCAAAAAGGGAGACGCGAAACACAGGAATAAATTAAGTTTGATCTCCGCTGTTGAAGGATTTGGCCCTAGCATGATGGGAGGAAAAAAAAAAAAACAACCCTTCAGAGTGATAAATCCATATATACCTACTCCAAACTACACCCGACGTCCCGAGGGACGCGGTATAATGGTAAATAAATATAGATGCAGTTCCTACTAATGAGGCAGGGTACAGCAAGGCCAAAGAAAATGCAATCATCTCGGGGAAAAAAACTGCACAGGACTCCTCCTCTCCCATCCATGGAGGAAATCAAATGCCAGCTGCACCATCCCAGGAAGGAAGCAGAGCCTGTACCTGATGAGCCCTGCAGAAATGAGCTAGTCACATCACGGGACACGAGCGGGCACTTCAGGGTTTTTGCAAGCCCACCAAGCGTCCGCACAGCACCGTTCCTTTCTCCAGCACTACGTATTTTACACGCTATCCTCCATGCAAATTGCAGGTTGTTTTTGTTGTTTTTTTTCCTTTCCTGTTTTTTTTCCTTTCCCTCCGTCCCCGTTTGGTTTTGGAGCAGGGGCACGTCGCTAGCGTCTGTCAGATCTGCTCCGGCCAGCAGCTTCACGCTTGCCTCCCTTACAAAGTTTAAATCCTTCCAGCTTCAGTTCACGGGCATTCCGTCCTTAAAGCCACTCATCTGTTCCCCCCAACGTTACACGAGCACGAGAACAAATTCAGATAAACCCGACGCCACGGACGAGCGGCAAACACGCTCACAGTCTTCATTTCCTCTTCCTTCTTCCCTCCCCACCCCCAGAAAAAACAGTTTTTGTCCCCAACGAGAAGGGACCGGGAAAAAAAAAAAAACGGCGCACATGATCGAGGCTTTTCTCAGACCTATTGCAAAGGGGGGAAAAAAAAAAATGCTCGCAAAGAAGTGCTCTGCAAACATACCAGGAGACACTCTTGGAACAACTCAAAAAAAAGCCATCAGACAAAACTGGGCTTGAAGAACTCAGCTCAGCCTGTCTCGCAGAGGTATTCTGCACCCCAAAACACACAAGTCTCGGGTTGTTTTAACCCAAAAACCGAGGGGAAGGGGTCAGCGGGGTTCCCTACCCCTTCCTCCGACCGGTCCTGGGGGTGAAGCCGCAGTTCTTCGGGAAAAAAAAAGACCCCGGGCAGAGGCAGAGAAGCACCAAAGCTCCTCTCCCCCATCTCCTCCCGAGAAGTAGCGAACAAACAAGCCGTGACACCCCACCCAAGCTCTCCGCACACATTTGGGGAACGATTTCCCTCGGGGTCCCCCCTCCTCCTTCCCCAGGCATTCAACTCCCCAGCAGCCAAAGCCCTTCGGACCCAACCCAGATCCCCCCCCAAAACCCCCTGGAGCCCCCCCCCCAGGGGGGTGACATCGAAATCCCAATCGGGGGCCTTCCAGAAGCCCCTTTTCCACCCCAAAAGCCCCAGGAAGGAGCCCCATAGGAGCCCCCTCAGGCACCCCAAAGGGGAGAAAGGGGGGACAGAAGGAAAAAGGGGGGGGGACAAGAGGAAAGGAAGGGGACAGGAGGGCCCCCACCGCAGCCTGGGAGGCGGCAGCAGCCCAGCCCCAAACTCAGCGGCCAACAGCACCAAAACAACCCCAAAAATAATTAATAATAATAATAAAGCGAGCGGCAGCCAGCACCCACCCAGTCTGAGGGGACTCCGCCGCCGCGAGTTCGTCCTCCCTCACGCCCGGGGGAGGGAAGGGAAGGGAAGGAGGGGAAGGTGGTGGTGGTGGGAGGGGGGGGGGGGGGTGTAAAATACTAATAAAAATAAAATGAGGAGCTCCCCTCCCTTCCCGGGGGGGGCCTACCCAGCCGGGGGCACCTTCCTGCTGCTTGGGAGGGAGGGGGGGGGTCGGAGAAACGAAGCAGCCCCCCCACAAACCGGGGTGCAACTCTGAGAGGGGGCTGAAAGGGGCTAAGGGGGGCTACCCCTACTCACCCCCTACCCCTTTAGGACCTCCTCAGGTCCTCAGGACCCCCCCCCTCAAGCCCTCAGATCCCCCCTCAGCTCCTCGCAACCCCCCCCTCCCCAAGTCCTCAGAACCCCCCTTCAGACCCCTTAGGACGCCCCTAAACACCTCAAGACCCCCCCCAAGTCCCCAGAACCCCCCCCAAAAACCCCACAACCCCCCCTCCCACCTCCTCAGGACCCCCCCCCAAGCCCCTTAGACCCCCTCCCCAAAACCCCAAGCCCCCCCCTACATACCCCTCACTACCAGGCGCTCTCCCCACAGCGCAGCTCCCCCTCAGGCAAAGCAGTACCAGCAAAAAGGGGGGGGGGGGAGGAGAGACCCCCCCCCCCCTCAAATCACCCTCCCCACACTCCCCCCCCCCTCCCCTCACAGCCCGCCCCCCTCCCCTCCCCGCTCACTCACCTCCGGGTGCCGGCGGCTCCTCCACCACCTCACCATTTAACGGCAGCCGCCGGGGGGCTGCCCCCCCCCGCCCCCCGCCCCCGCCCCGGCGTGAGGGGAGAGACGACCGGGGGGGGAGGAGAACAATAGCGAGAGAGGGGGGGGGGGGTCCCTCAGCTGCCGACGCCCCCTTCTCCCCAGCCCCCCCCCCCGGGACGAGAAGCCCCCTCCCCCGTCTCGCTCCCCTCCTCCTCCTCCTCCTCTCGGTTTCTGTCTTTTTTTTTTTCTTTTTTTTTTTTTTTTGGCTCAATCACACCAGGCTGACTGCCTTTGTCTGTCTGACAAGCGCCATGTTGATATCAACATCCAGGCTCCCACCTGCTGCCGCCGGGAGACCCTGGGACTTGTAGTTCCCCCCTCCCTAGGGTGACGGGGGGGAACCGCGCCGCCGGGACTACAACTCCCGGCGTGCCCCGCCGGCTCGGCACGCCAATGGAGAGCGGGGGGGCGAAGAGCGGGGTGGACTACAACTCCCGGCATGCCTCGGGGCGGGGGTGGGTAACGAGGGGGGGAGGCCATGACCTCATTGCGGGCTGTGGGACTACAAATCCCATGATGCTCTGCGGGCGAGGCGGGGGGGGGGGGCAGGAAGGTGGGGGCAGGATTGTCCCCGTAAATAGAGCCGGGCGAAGCATGAAGCTGGTGAGCGGGGGGGGGGGGCATTTTGGGGTGGATTTGGGGGGTTTTGGGTGTGTTATATGGCTGTTATACATTATAGGGGGGTGTTAAGGGGTTGGGGGGGTCTCAAGCGTTGGCTCCCTGCATGGGGGTGAGGGAGGAAGAGGAGGAGATGAAGATGAGGGGGAGGAGGGTGAGGGGGGGCTGGCCCCAAGCCCCTCACGCGTGTGGTCGCCTCAGGCTTGCTCCCAAAGCACCAGCTCGCCCCTAGCACCGTGCCCCTGACCCTGCTCCTCCTAAATCCCAGAGCTGCGCCCTGCCTGAGGAACCCCTTCCGAAGGGGGTGCTCCTAAATGTTTCCCCCCAGGTGCTTTAAGGGGAAGGTTTTTTCCACAAGTACCCAGCCTGTGTTGTTTCTCTCCCTTTTCAGCTCTTTAATTCTCCCAGAGATGTGGATTCAGCCACTAATTTGTTTTCCAGGAAGGATTTCCTCGTCACAATTAACGCGGTGCAGTTCTTAGGAGGTGAAAGCCCGAGCAGCTCTCAGGACACCCGAGCATAACATTGATGCATCTCACTTATTATTAAACATAACCTCAACTCTTAGGTGTGAGATGGAGAGGTTTGTCACGAGGAAGCTTTGTAGAACTAAACTTGGATTTTGGGCTTGTTTCGAGGCTTCCAGTGACTCCCCGTCTGTGGTGTAACTGTGAAATTAGTTCCTCAGGCAGGTGGTTGAAGGGTTGATTCCCCCATAATCATACACACGTCATCAGGCTTGGCCTGGATGAACCCTAGCAGTGGGACAAAACGCTGCTGGATGTGATCGCAGAGGCTGACATAATTCAGGGGAAAATTGCAAACTCTAAATCAGACATTTTTAAATGAAGTTTGTAGTGGAAATGTGAACTTTGATGTGTCTAGAGCCTTGTGTAGGGACAGAGAGATGGAAAGGGCGTGGGGTGGACATGTGAGCTGTCTGCCAGCTCTATTACAACACTTTTTAGACCTGCATACGCATTTGGGGAGTGAGGATTTTAAGACTGGATTCATCATGCTGCCTTTTGTCTGCAGTTATGACTGAGTCTCAGGGCTGCAGGAGGGAGGAGTTGGGTGCTATGTCATCCTCTTTTCTCATATGTTTGGTTTGAATTCCGAATAAGGCAGAGGTCGCAGCCTGCAGACCTGATGCCACGTCCAGTGAAAATGCTGGACTCCTCCTACTGCAAATGTGCTGGGGTCTGGGGAAATCCAGACTCCAGTTGCTAGCATGGGATATTAGTACTGGAGCGACGCGCTGCAGTATTTGTTGGCTGCAGTTGCAACTCAGAGCACTGGCTTTAACTTGCAAAACGTGGAATGTTTTGGAGCTGCTAGTGTGAGACGTCATCTCTTTTCTCTGTCCCCTTGCCATCCATGAGATCACCAGCAGTGCTCTGGGCTGGCGAGCACTCAACGTGAACCAGATGTCTGCTGAGAAGCTCTCGCTGCGAGGGCTTCAGCCCCTCATCTCCAGCCCTTTGCCAAACTTTCATCCCATTTACAAGGAAGTTGTGAGCTGAGATGGGCATTCTGGTAGTCTTTTATATGTGCTTTGTGACTTTTTTCATCATTATTTTTAATTAGGAGATAAGGCACCTAGTATGTTAGCTCTGCTGACCTTTAGTTATCAGGGGAAAAAAAGATGGAAGCGAATAAATCCAAGAGCAAAGAGGGCTTGCAATTTAGCCTGGTCAGGAGTATTATTTACTGGGGTCTCTGGATCTTTTTTAAATAGTATCAGCTATAAACTGGGTAGAAGTAATCAAATATCACACTTATAGTGCACATCAAGATGTAACAGTGCAGGCATTCACTATGCCTTGGATTCCTGAGCTATAATTCTAACAGAGGCACAGCTCTGGAAATGTCACATGTGCAAATAGCTGTATAGCATATATGAGTTGCTTTTTTTTTTTTTCTTCAGTTGCTTTATGTGAATCTGATAGAAAGAGTCCATTGACTCCCAGGAATCCATTTGCCATGGTGTGACAGCCCCAGATATAGATTATTTTAGATGCTTTTAGAGACGAAAAAAGGAAGATTTTCCAGTTAGCTTGTAGATGTCAGGGTCACGATCTTACTCGTGATTCTTTAAAGAAAGGGAAGAAAGTGTTTTGCTGATAAAAGCGGTGATATTTCATCGCCTTTTTAAATTACTGGTAGTTGAAAAGCTACAAAAATAGTTTAGATTTTTTTTTCCTTCTTTTTACTTAGATTTATAGCTTCAGTTGCCAAAGTCCTGGTCTGGTGAGAACCCAATTTCACATGTGTGGTTTGCATTCACAAATGAGACACCTGAGCAGGTGGACATGTGTACACACTTCTTTTCCAGCTTCCGATTTTAAGGTTTTCTTAAACTTTGGTAATAGCAGGCAAAAATGTAATGTTGCTCCTTAATATTAAGGCTTTATGAATTTAAAACAAAAGCCCGTGATAGTCTTAATTTAATATTTGGGGGCTAGTAGCGTTTTAATATTTAAATATAATTTAAAAACATCTTTTTGATGAATGTGTGTGAATATTCTCCTTGGGAGTTGTTAATTCAAGCAGTTGCAGTCCCCTGTTAACATATTGTGAGCAGAGGCAGAAAATGAAATGATTTATCTACCTTCTTTCCCCTTCATGAAGTGCAGAAAGCAAACACGAGGTATAAACGACTGAGAAAATG